GTAGTTCGTCTGACTCATCTGGATCCGTCATCGTATCGAAGAGCGCCAAAAGCAGAGGGCGCCCAAAGCTGAGAAAGAATCAAGGGAAAGCCGAGAAGCGACAGCGTGTCGCCCGCGTATAAGAAACTGCGTCACGACTCGTGCAAGGGACATTTTTGCCGGTTCCGAGTGTACGGAACATCGTAGAGTTTCTAGACAACGATTATACCTACGAAGCTGCGAAACGGATTCTACCCACGCTCACTATCCGGGAAGTTCCAAAGTCCAAAAAGAAGATCGCTGGTATCTACACGGACGACAAGTGCACTACTGATATTCGGTTTGTCTTCTCTCGCGAATTCGTAAAAAAGGCTCAAATGGCAATCAGGGGGGTTCAGGAAGGATCTTGCAGCTGACTGTGAAGCCGACAGCGTCGGCGTGCGTGTGTCACGTTTCGGAATCTTTATGCTTAAAGATATCAAGGCAGTAGATCGGTGGCACACGTGCATGGAGCTTATAGCGCAAACAGAGGATGCTATGAATTGGGCCCTAAACACCAGCGTTAAGCGCATCACAATTCCAGATGAATTCTCTGATGCAGTTGCTACCGAACCAAAAGAGCGTGAAAATGCAATCAAGCAGCTTATGCTTCGAGGCGGACGCGTGACATCGTTTGGTAGTGTACCGTATCGAGCCCTACTGACATTTTGTGGGAGTTCATGGCTTGACGACAATTGTATGGGTCACGGGATAGCGCTGCTACACTGTGAACATCCTGATGTTGGCGTCGTCAACCCTCTCTTCCTGCGTTTCCAGCTCCGAGAGCTGCAGCTTACGACTGTCAAAGCCGGCAACCCGTTCGCGAAAACAAACAAGATAGTACTGATACCGTTGCATATCGACAACAACCACTGGTGCGGTGCTGTGATCGATTTTCGGAGAGAGACTCGGATAATCACGCTCTTTGACCCGCTTCAAGCGTCGAAGTCAAAGTACAACGATATCTGTGAAGCCCAACTGAAGAGTATTTTTGGAGAAATATGTACCCTTCTGACAATCAAGCGAGAAACACGTTCACGACAGCCAGATGGATCAAGTTGCGGTGTAGCTGCCCTTATGTTTTTCAAGTGCTTCCTCAGAGGAATTCCACTGCCAGCCAAACCAACCTTACCGCTCATACGATTTTTAAGGCTCCGCTATATGCTGAAATGTCTGATGTAGCTACATTTAGTTTTGCCAAATGAATTTATGCACATTAATGCTTCACTGTCTCGTTTGGGTTATCGTCGCTAATCAGTGCCTGGCTTTTCGTCTTAGTGCTTGAGCTACCGTGTTGACGCGTTTCTTGTGCTTGTGAAACTCGCGCTTGAGTCGCTGAAGCTGGTTTCTGGCCGTCTAACATCTCGTTGAACGCTCCCGATGTTCTTCCCCTCTCGATCGACGTGCACAACCTTCCGCGATGTCCCGCAGATGGAAGGACAGTCCACCTACAAGTAAATGAATGCTGCCCGTGAAACACTAAGTCTTGTGTACTTTCAAGCAACACACCAAAACAGCACACAATCAGCAATCACATCCACAAAATGCCTATGGTGAATAATTTCACGAACACTACACTCCTACACGGAGTTGGGGGTACGCAGGAATGAACCCATGCTCCTAATGCATTTTAAATACTTTGGAACCGTTATTTGAATGTATCAATTGATAGCATTATAGGAAGATAGTATCTTTACACATTTGTGTTAAATTGAAGTTAATGCAAATCGAGCACGATCCAACTTCAGCAACAAATAAAGCAGCTTCAATTTGACGTATCAAATTATAAGCGCAGGTTATGAGCTAATAATTCTAGTCTTTTGTTAAGTACTTGAACA